CACGCCGACAAACAAACTTAGCTAGCAGTTATTGGTGGGGACTAGTCAGGAACAAGTTATTAAACATCTAGAGAACAAAATGCACAAGAAGTGATAAGCCTCAGGTTAAGTTATTAGTCAATATTTTGAAGAGAAAAAAAAGCCACATACTATCACAAGGATGTTATAAGTTCATCGTTTTGGGCACACAATTAGGCATGTTCGCTAGGTATAATTTTGCACTAAACAAAAGCATAATAGATGAACGTTTCACCATTGACTTTCATGTCCTAACTATGATACCTGCCAACCTATTGTCACTTGCATGCATGTCACATTTCCCTTCTAAGGATGAATTTTATTTTAAGGCCCAAGCTAAACACAAGGTTAAAGGATCACGTTCTAGATGTGCCACTCCTTGCACCAAAAATCACACCATGAACCAAAAATACTAAACAATCACTGCCATGTGATCATGGGTAACCACAGACGTACCAGTGTGCTCTTGGTACATGTCTGCACCAGAAAACAAGTGTAAAAGTTGTGGAAGCAACAGTTGAAAACCTTTAGACTTTAAAAAGAAATCAAAGTGCCAATAAAAAAGTTCCCTGAAATGAAGATAGTCATTATGTACCACTCCCACTGCCCATGGCATTGACCACCATTGTACTGAAGAGAAATTGCCAACTGAAGTCAAACTTCCAGGACACTCAATTTCCTAATCCTAGTGAGGTTCATCTCTTGGATCCCCATATCGCAACAGGACTAGTCTTGGGAAATGGCAGGATGAGCTACTGAGCACAACAGGGTCCAGGAAATGAGTTCAGGCTTCAAACAATGGTTTTATTTCAACAGGGTGGTGTTTGATGGAAGAGAAAAGTACTTATTAATATTTCTTTGCAGGGAACTCTTTTGTTGGCACATTGATTTTAGAGACAGAACTTCATCCAATTTTTTTTTTGTTTTGAGGAAGTGGGGAAGAGTTAAAGTGGAACTAAACTCTCTCAATCACCATTGCCTATTTATAATCCTTATACTGCTGGCATTAGTAAATAGATACAATAGAAAGGTATTATATATTTATTTGTTTTATTTTTTTTATAAGTTTCTTCTGTTGCTTCTTGTTTTATGGCCTAAGCCAAAATGATGTCATACATCCCAGGAGACTTTATGGGCATTTTCTTCCTCTTTTATGTGGAGAAAGGGGGGAGGGACATTCCCATGTAAACACACCCTCCTGCCTGCATGCTTGAGCCAAAGGCAGATGAATTACAGAAAGTAAATGCTACATTAATCCTCTGACCTTACTAAAGATGGCCAAAAAATGATAGGGGAGTTTGAGCTTTAAATATGAAAACTGAATTAAATAGCATTTTCAGTTTGTGGTACTCGGATATCATTAAGTTCCACTTTTACACTGTTTACTTTTAAAACCCAAGTTTTTATTACTGTCTATGACCTCTTTGAGGATATTGTCCTTTATCTCCTGTCTCTGTGGCACCTGTACAAGAAATGAGGCCTTGTTTGGCGCTGGTATAGAGAGAAATGGGCAGCAATTATCAGAGATTCTAACCTTTCCCCCGTCTGGCTAGAAAGTGATTTTGCTTGTGTTGGAAGTGAGCAGAAATCTCCCCAACAGGGAAACAGATGACAATAAAAACCGGAGAGAGGCTGTAAACCTTCCCAACTCCATCCAAACTAAATGAAAAGTTTAAGCTGGTGTCAGGCTTTACCTCTCGTAGAGTGTTTCCAAAAGTTCTTCCACCATGATTATTGAATTGTTTATAAATGATGGAAGGTGATCAAGTGTTTTCCACAACAGATACATTGATATCTCAGATAGTTCTACCAACATTTTCCCCCTGCTCTATAAAATAAAGTCATCTGGGAAAGCAGCAATGGTAGAATACAAAGGTAGAAAAAAAAAATGAAAATCCAAAAATGTATATAGAATACTCCTTAAGGAGACCCTGTCACCACCTGCTAAACACAGGCATGGAATCTGTATCAAGAATAATTATAGAAACCTTGCATGCTGCAGCAATGTGGCTCAGGCATTGTAAACTGTGACAGTAGCCCTAAAATATAGCAAATTGTATTGCCAATTTTGAAAGTTTTACATTTACATGCTGTTTAAACATTTTGGTGAAGTAGGAGTGGGAAAGTGGCAACCATGATATCTTTGCATAAAAAATCAAACTCCTGTGAAGCTGCCAGAAACTTTGATCACCCACTTTGGCTTCTATAGTCTTGTCTGATGCAATCTACAACGCAAGGAGAATGTTCCTATCATGGGACACCAGACAAACCCATTCATCAGGTAGATAATAGCAGCCCCAGTCTAGCTCCATTCAAGCCATGCCCTGATGCTTTTCTCCCAGCCCATGGGGTTTAGTCATTGAGGTCCTCCTGAAATACATCAGAGAAGTGTGGTTTGGATGGAGCTAGAGTGTGTCTGCTATTTATCTACTTGACAAACAGGTTTGTTTGAAGTGCAGCAATTGGGACATCCTTGTTGCTTTGCATAGTCAAAACCTGGCAGCAAAAATATAAGTTGAAGATCCACACCACTCCCTAAAGTTCCAGATATGACTTTATTACAAGGAGGATCCAACATGTTTCGGGGGGGCCAAAAAATACTTCCTTTGCCAAAGCTTGATATTGAAACCAATGTGAATGAATTAGAAGTGAGCAAGCACAGGTTCTGGTTCAGCAGCTGGTAATCACAATAGAAGAAATACCATTAACGGTCCACTTCTAGTCCATTCAACTTGCTTTCAATCCCAAGCCTTGATGAAGGATACATTTTTGGACTCTTGAAACATGTTGGTATCCTTTGGATTGCCCCCCTGACTTTTATTGGAATAAAGTCATACTTAACCTTGTAGCAGGGGAGTGGTGCATTTTTGTTACATTACATTACAAGTCATGGAGATCCTCAGGGGTGTAGAGGCCACCTGCCCAGGAACCAGACCACCTATATCAACATCTATACATTTAGATAGCAATACCAGAACAATAACTTTATGGGTTATGTTTCCACTTTCCTCAAAAATGCTTGCAGAAGACAGGGCTTTTCTAGGTACTCTTAATACAGATTATCTGCCATTTTTTAGTTTGCAGCATAGTAGGTGTTGACAGCAGCAGCCTTTAAAAATTTGTGGGATGTAACAATGGGTGATTTTTGGTCAAGCGGTTAACCAACTAAAAATCACTGGTAGCCGGCAACTCAGGGCTAATTCTCCACTGGCTAACTACTGTCAAGATCTCAGCTTCAGGATGGGATTAGGGCCAAAATATGGGTTAGAAATTTATCAGCAGTCAATATACTCATTTGCTTTTCTTGTGCAACGTATTTTAACTCCAATAAAATCTTGGGTAGCATGCAAATAGACAGTGCTAAGATTCAGATCATGCCAGACGCATACAAGTCGGCAGGTAAGCATACAAAATGACTTCTTAAAAAAAAAATAACAACCATTTAGTAAAGCCTAGAGTTCTAGAAGGAATCCATTGCTTTAAATTCACTTAGAGCCTGGACAGGGGAAATATGCTTCTTTTGGGATCCTCGTCGTACTCGGGTCTGGTACTCTTCAGGTTTTTCTCTTTTCACTAGAGGTTTCTTTTCTGGAGCTTTCATCTTCCAGGAGACAACGGGGGAGTTCACGGCCGCCGTGCCATAGACTTTCTGGTATTTAGTGGAAGCCACATATGAAGCCTTTACGGTTAACACAACCGCGTTCATCAGATTCTTGGCAGCTTGAATCAAGGAAGTGGCGCTGTCCAACTGTGAAAAAAAAAAAAAAATTGTGAGGCTTAGGGTATTATTTGCTTTAATATATGTATTTCTGTAGACTGTTTATTGTGCAGGAAGGACAATGGGGGAGATTTACTAAAACTGGTGCACTCAAAATCTGGTGCAGTGCTGCATGGTAGTCAATCAGCTTCTAACTTCAGCTTGTTCAATCAAGCTCTGGCAATAAAACCTGGAAGCTGGTTGGCTTCTATGCAGAGCTGTAGCAGATTTTGCACTCTGCAGTTTTAGTAAATAACCCCCAATGTGTTTAAGGAACTGTTAAAAATTATTAGCTGGAGTTTGTCTTTAATTTGTATGTTGTTTGCACAAAGTCTATTTAAATATATATGTCTATCTAAAACTACCCTGTCCAATACTGGGACAGGTTCGTCCAGTGCCCAAGGCAAGGATGCAAAATCACCACTCCATTCCCCCAACCCCCTCCCCCACTGCTAATGCATGCTGCAGAATGGGCGTACCACCTATCTATGCCAAATCTCTGACCACTTTGCCCAATCTATGACCCCTTGCTCCAGCTGCCCATGGTTAGCAAGTGCACTGCATGCATGATATACTTTTCATGTCAGTTGTGGGAGGATGAAGAAAAGAATAGGCATGTTGGAGCACAATGTGAAAGTATTAGCTGTCAGACATGAAGCTGTGGCCTGCTGGTTGCCAGCAACTAATCTGCATGCGTGCGCCTGGGACAGCTTCCCCTCCTGCCCACCCTTTGTGCTGGCCCTGACCCTGACAATGCTGTATGCTTTAAGCACAGAACAAACTGTGTTGTCACCCTGTTAAAGGAATGAACAAAACAACGATCTAGTGGCAGGATCAACTGATAATGGGTCAGAAAAAATGCATGCTGTGAGAATTGCTTGCTTTCTAGCAGCTATAAGGTAGCTGCACATGCATGTTGTGTTTTTTTGTGGGCAGATGAGCTATAAAATGGGCATGCTGGAGCACAGTGTGAAAGTATTAGGTGTCGGACATGAAGCTGATGACAGCTGGTTGCCAGCAACTGAGCTGAAGCATGTTTGTACCTGGGGCAGCTGTCCCTCCTGCCCACCGCTCATCTTGGCCCTGACCCTGACAATGCTGTATGCTTTAGGCACAGAACAAACTGCATTGTCACCTGCTATAGGAATTGAAAAACAGCCAATCTAGTGGCAGGACCAACAGGTTTTATAACTATTTTACGGTGGGTCAAAAAATGTATGCTATGAACAGGGGCGGACTGACCACTCGGGCACTGCCGGAGGGCCCAGGGACAGTAGGGGGCCCCATGAGATACCCCTGGTACCTTTCATAGGCTTTTTTGGTGTGGTTTGAGTGTGGGCGAGGACACAGGGGCCCCATGATCCCCTATTGCCTAGGGGCCCCATGAGTTGTCAGTTCGCCCCTGGCTATGAGAATCACTTGCTTTCTAGCAGCTATAAGGTCTCCGCACATGCATGTTGTATTTTTCATGTCAGCTGTGGACAGATAGGGTAGAGAGTATGCATGTTTGAGCACAGTGTGAAAGTATTAGCTTTCAGACATGAAGCTGTGGCTAGCTGGTTGCCAGCAAGTGATCTGGAGCATGTATGCGTCCAGGGTGGCTGACCCTAATGCCCACCCCTTGTCTTGGCCCTGACTCTGACAATACCGCATGCATTAAGCTCAGAACAAACTGCATTGTCACCTTGTTAAAGGAATTTAAAAAAAAAAAACAACCAATCTAGTGGCAAGATTAACAGGTAATATAACTATATTATGGTGGGTCAGATAACGACTTTGACATTGCTGTTGACATTGTTATATTTGATTTTGCCCATAATTCCACTTTAATATGCATTTCAAAGGCTAAAAATAAAGAGAAAAAAAAACAAATATGGAGCAAGAAAATGACTGAATTCATTGAATTAGAACATGGGAGCAGATAAAGTGAGCGGCTTGCAGAATTCTGATCATCTGTAATCATTACACATATAACCGAGCTATGGATAAGAAGACTATATCTCGGAGAGTTTTAATGCTACAGAATTCATTTTACTAAGAGCTGAGCTTGTTTTCTGAAAACCATTGCCAGCGTTTAGCTTTTATGCAGATGCATTACTTTAAAAAAAAAGCCATAAAAGCAGGAGGAAATGTATCATTTTATTAATATCACACATCAGCAGAGTAAACCAGGAATTAAGCAAAGCCTTTTTCTGGGAATGGAAGAACATGTAAATTTAACAAACCGATAAAAGTTTCAGATGGAGCAAGCGGAGGCTCGCAGAGCATTATAAACAAACTGGATTTGTCTTGATGGGAAGCCAGCCTGTCCTGTCTACCCTCCATCCAAAATAAAGCCACAAATGAAAGTAAACTGTGTGATGTCTTAGTTCATTTAGTCAATATATGTCAAGACAAAGTTAAAAAAAAAAAAAAACACACACACAAAAACAAATAAAATGCAAGATAAGATAAAAAGTTGCAAACCTAAAACTAGTCATACACAGCTGTCATGAATAATCCTGATAACTTGTATAAACCCCATAATATTATTATTATTATTATTATTACATCGAGTTTATATAGCGCCAAAGGGTTTGCTCAGCGCTGTACAATAGAGGGGGGGACAATACATGAAACAGTACAGCAACTACAAACAGCACACGAGGGGTTTGAGGGCCCTACTCTTTCGAGCTTACAATCTAGAAGGGAGGGGGTATTGGTACAGGAGGAAGTGGCTGTGGGGGATGGAGTGGTAGGAGGAATGAAGGAGAATGGCTGTTAGGTGAGGGCGGGGTAGGCTTCCCTGAAGAGGTGGGTTTTTTAGGGAGCGCCTGAAGGTGAGGAGGGAAGGTGACAGTCTGATGGATTGGGGTAGTGAGTTCCAGAGGATGGAGGAGGACCTGGAGAAGTCTTGCAGTCGTGCGTGGGAGGAGGAGACCAGGGAGCAAGATAGAAGGAGGTCCTGTGAAGAGTGAAGGGTACAGGTAGGGTGGTACCTGGGAATCAGGTTGGTGAGGTAGTTAGGTGCAGTGTTGTGAATGGCTTTGTAATATAATAATGTGTTTGATTCCTATGAATATCAGCTCACAGGAAGCTCAGAGGAATAGTGCCCCATCATTGGTGTCAGTGGGAGGAACAGTGCTCCATCTTTGGTGTCAATGGCAGGAATAGTGCCCCATCTTTGGTGTCAGTGGGAGGAACAGTGCTCCATCATTGGTATCAAGGGGAGGAATAGTACACTGCTCAAAAAAATTGTAAGAAACACTTTGAAAACACATAAGATCTCAATGGGGAAAAATATCATGCTGGATATCTATACTGATATGGACTGGGTAATGTGTTAGGAATGTAAGGATGACCCATTGTTTGATGGAAATGAAAGTCATCAACCTACACAGGAGTGAATTCAAAGACACCCCGAAAATCAAAGTGAAAAAAATGATACAGCAGGTTAGTCCATGTTTCTGAAATTTCATTGCAGCAACTCAAAATGGTACTCAGTAATTTGTATGGCCCCCAAGTGTTTGTGTGCATGCCTGACAACATTGGGGCATGCTCCTAATGAGACGACAGATGGTGTCCTGGGGTATTTCCATCTGGACCAGGGCATCACTGAGCGTCTGGACAGTCTGAGGTGCAACCTGGCAGCATTGGATGGACCGAAACGATATCCCAGAGTTGTTCTATTGGATTTAGGTCAGGCGAGCATGGGGGCCATTCAATGGTGTTAATTCTTTCATCCTCCAGGAACTGCCTGCATACGCTTACCACATGATGTCGGGCAATGCCGTATACCAGGAAGAAACCAGGACCCACTGCACCATTGTAGAGTCTAACAATGGGTCCAAGGATTTCATACTGATACCTAATGGCAGTCAGGATGCCATTGTCTAGCCTGTAGAGGTCTGTGCGTCCCTCCATGGATATGCCTTCCCAGACTATCTCTGACCCACCACCAAAACGGTCATGCTGAACAATGTTACATGCTGCTTAATGTCCTCCGCGGCTTCTCCAGATCCTTACAAGTCTGTCCCATGTGCTCAGGGTGAACCTGCTCTCCTCTGTGAAAAGCACAGGGTGCCAGTGATGAACCAGCCAATTCTAGTGTTCCATGGCAAATGCCAATTGAGCTCTTTGGTGCCGGAAGTGAGAACAAGGCCCACTAGAGGATGTAAGGCCCTCAGGCCACCCTCATGAAGTCTGTTTCTGATTGTTTGGTCAGAGAAATTCACACCAGTGGCCTGCTGGAGGTCATTTTGTAGGGCTCTGGCAATGCTCATCCTGTTCCTCCTTGTACAAAGGAGCAGATACCAGTCCTGCTGATGGGTTAAGGACCTTCTACAGCCCTGTCCAGCTTTCTTAGAATAACTGCCTGTCTCCTGGGATCTCCTCCATGCTCTTGAGACTGTGCTGGGAGACACAGCAAACCTTCTGGCAATGGCATGTGCCATCCAGGAAGAGTTGGACTGCCTTTGCAACCTCTGTAGGGTCCAGGTATGGCCTCATGCTACCAGTAGTGACACTGACCCTAGCCAAATGCAAAACTAGTGAAAAACTGTCAGAAAACATGTGTAGGGAAAAAATGTCAGTGGCTTCTGCCAGTAAACCTGTTTTGGGGGTTGTCTCATTGTTGCCCATGTAGTGCACCTGTTGTTAATTTCATTAACACCAAAGCAGCTGAAACTGATTAGCAACCCCCTCTGCTACTTAACTGACCAGATCAATATCCCAGGAGTTTCATTGACTTGATGCTATACTCTGATTAAAAAGTGTTCCTTTAATTTTTTTGAGCAGTGTACTTCATAATTGGTGTCAGTGGAGAAATGTTTTAGTGTGAACCATTCCTAACAGAGTAAAAAGAAATAAAGATGGCAGAAGTATATTTAAAGCCTATCCAAAACCCCAAAATTGTTTTTTGCTGGAGCTGGGCACTACTATAAGCTCACTAGCTCTCGTCCATATAACTTTTAACCACTTGCCGTCCACCTGCTGTTTATAAACAGCAGGGCAGTGGCAGTCCAGGGGAGGGTTGCCGTTCATAAACGGCACCCGCCTTTTCTAGCTGTGCGCGCTCCCTGGGAGCGATCCGGTGCCCGCTGTGTCCTCCGGACACAGTGAAACACCGATCGTCGGACGGGACCTCTGTACGAGGTCCCGATCATGTGATCGCTGATTGGCCAAGCAAAGTAGTAAGCAAGATGTCACTTGTGACATCATTGCTTACTACGTGTGAAATCTGTGAATGATCACAGAGGTCAAATGGTACAAGGCTATTCACAACAGCCTTGTACCATGTGACAAGCTGTGACCAATCACAGCTCACTCAGTACTTCTCAATGACTGCAACAATGCAGACAGAGAGAAAGAGAAATGATTGCTTTTACATCCTATATGGGTGAAAAAGCAATCAGTGTAAAAAAAAAAAAATCTTCATCACCCCCCACAATTAGTACAGTGTCACCATGGTGACACTGTACTGCTAGGGTGACAGTATGTAAAAAAAAAAAAAAAATTATTTAAAAAAATAAAATAAAAATGTAAAAAAAAAAATGATTAAAAATTATAATTTTTGATTATAAACTAATTTTGATTTTTTTTTTTTACTAAAAAAATAACGGAATAAATTTTGGCCAAGATGTATGATGAAATATTTATTTATTTTATAAAAAAAAACACTTTTTTTCAAAATTTTTGGACTTTTTCATTTACATAGTAAAAAAAAATAAAAATCCCAGCGGTGAATAAATACCACCAAAATAAAGCTTTATCTGTCTCAAAAAAATGGTAAAAAATTCATATGGGTACAGTATTGCATGACCGCGCAATTGTCATTCAAAGTGTGATAGCGCTGAAAGCTGAAAATTGCCCTGGACAGGAAGGGCGTAAAAGTGTCCGGACAGGAAGTGGTTAAAAAAGATGTGAGCAATTTATAGTCATCACTCTTTATTTTTTTTTTTCCGGTCTGAGCTACAAATAAGACACTTACTAATTAGCTAAGATTGCCAACCCAAACCACAACTCTTATCTGGCGCCTTCAGTAAATTCTAGCAAAGGGTCTTCAAAAACCACTTTTTTAATTCCAATGTTTTATGGCTTATTTTGATGGCGCTGGAAGTTAAAAGAATAAGATAAATTAAGTGTCAATAAAGAAAGCAGTGGGCAGAATAACAGGCACATCAAAGCGATGACACGCAATGGTAGAAATTTCCATATTAAGTAGAGCGCTGACACAGATCGCACTGCAGAAATGCTATTTATACACTCAGGAAAAAGAGGGATGCTATGTCAGGTCCTATGTCTGAGCCACAAACAAATACATGTTTATTGAGACAAATACACTG